TATAAAAAAAAAAAATATTTTACTAACTTAGCTAAAACGATATTTATTGGAGATCCAAATATTTAAAGAATTTCGAATTCATTTATTACATTAATATAATAGAAATAAAAATTGCAACTTAAAGGAATGTTACATTTTATGCTAATATCTATTTTAATTTTCTAATGATTAACGTGATATATGCGTTTAATTAGTTTTGTGAATATTGCATTAATACTAAATTCATTGTCTTGACATTATGCTAATATCTCAATCCGCCCTTGAGGCTTGATTGAGATCGGGTCAGGCCCTTAATTAAAAAAATTCAATTTGAAAATATAAAAATTAAGAGCAAGTAGAGAACTAAAAAGGGATTTTTACATTCCTATACATTATTTGAAACCTTATTACTCTCTCTGCTCAAGTTTTAATTTAATTACATGGTCATATATAATTTACCAATTATATACAAATAAATTTTAAATGAGTATCTCTTTATATTAGTTATTTCCTTGTTCCTTTATACTTGTCCACTCCTTCTCTTCGTGTCTCTCTCTGCTTTTTCTAGTGTACCCACCATCTAACTTTCTTTCTAGTAGTGTGATATTAATAAAAGAATATGATTTGTAGTGGAACTTTCATACTTAATTGGTTATTATAAAATTTAGAGTTCACAGAACAAAGATTGCAACTCAAAAGTGCGGATTACAAATATTGAAAAGAATTATTAAATTCAAGACGAAGATATTGTAGTAATTCATCAATGGATTTCTTGATGTATAGAGTTTCCACCATTGATAACCATTAAAAAATTTTGAAGCTTTGAAATTAAATTTGAATTTTCAAAAATTATTATTTGTTTGGATTGGGTGTTGTTGTAAACAATTGGGAATATTGTTTGGAGTTTATATCTCAATTTTTAGGGTGCTTTGGTGAAAATTAGACTTGATTTTGGCTGAATTTCATATTGAAACTCGAAGAAGAAGAAGAAGAAGAAGAAGAAGAAGAAGAAGAAGAAGAAGAAGAAGAAGAAGAAGAAGAAGAAGAAGAAGAAGACATGACATATAATATACTTACGAAATTGTAGTAAAGTTGTAGTAAAATTGTAGGTAAATTGTATTCTGTTGTAGTTATGTATATGTTTTTATTTGAATATTGTATGAAAGTTGAAAAATAGTTGTATTATGTATGAATCGTTGTATAAAAATTATATTTAAGTTATCAATACTATCTTTTTACATAAAGTTGTTGATATGTATCAAAATTGTATTAAGAGAGTAAGTTTTGATTGGAATTTTAGAGAGGAAGATACACACACCACACACAAAATATATACAAATCAGATACAAAATATACAAAAGACATATTGTATAAAATTTGTATAATAATTGTATTTAAGTTGTATGATATTGTAGTTGTATTTAACTGGGTAGAAATAATGTATGAAAATTATAGATAAATTGTAGATTAGTTGTAAATAAGTGTATATTGTATAGTTAGTTGTAATTCAATATTACAAAATCAAATGCAATGTGACTAATTCAATATTACATTCCAAGTCGCAATTGACTATAATTTCATTGAGGGTAAAATTTTATTATGTAATTTGACCAAATAACTTGTGACTATAATTCTCACAAATGTCGATAAGTTCAAAATGTCTCTGTGCCAATTCTCAGTACTTGTACTGAGTATTGCCATTTGTCTAAGTAATAAGGAGCCCTATTTTCAAGTTGGTTACGTGATAGACCTGCAGGCTTTTCGGTGCTTATGATGTAGTTTTGATTTCTTCCGCGTTAAGTAATGCATGTTTAAGGAAATCAATTGTGTTAAGCTGATAGCATAATCAGATAAATATTATTCGTTGAAAGACACTTGCTAAAGAAGAATTTCGTGATGCTTAATTGTGTGAATATTAGAGTTAAATGCCAAGAGGTGTTGATATGTCAAATATCACCAGTTTCTCAAATTATACATGGGGAGGCAACTGGATTTTATCATCATACAACTATTTTTTAACTTTCATACAAATTTTAAATAAAAAATATATATATAACTACAACATAATACAATTTACCTATAATTTTACTACAGCTTTACTACAATTTTGTAAGTATATTGTATATCATGTCTTCTTCTTCTTCTTCTTCTTCTTCTTCTTCTTCTTCTTCTTCGAGTTTCAATCTGAAATTCAGCCAGAACTAAGTCTAATCTTCACCATGCACCCTCAAAATTGAGATATAAACTCCAAATAATATTCTCAAGTATTTGCAACAACACCAAATCTAAATAATTAATGATTTTTGAAAACCCAAATTCGAATTCAAAGGTTTATGATAGATTAATGTTCGAATCTTCAATTCCTACAACCTGGAGGTTACTTCAATAGGTTGATTGGAAAAAGACAATTTTTAGGGTTACCTTATTGAGATAGAAAAACAGTGAGAGAGAAAGATGAAGAAAGAAAGAAAAGTTGATGAAAGATGCGGTAATGAAGAAAGAGGAGAGGAGAGAAAAAATGAAAAGGATGTAACTAAATTTCCTAATTTAAGGCAATAATAATAGATTGTATATAATTTGTAAGTAATCTTTATTTATGGTGGGTAATATACAAAATTAGGATAATTTTGATAAATAAATTTCAAATATTGTATAGGAAGAAAAAATCAAAATTTACTTAAAGAGCCCAAACTCAAAGTTTACTTAATTAATAAGAAGAGCCCAAACTCAAAGTTTATTTTCATGAACTCTGATTGTGTCCGGGATTTTTACCAGGCTATACTATTTTAGAAAATTATTTACCCTCACTAGAGAGGTTTTAACCTAATAACAATTTGATATACAATTTACCAATTATATATATTTTAGTGATAATTTAATGTCCCTAAATTATACGGCTTTAATTAGCTTTCCAATGTAACCACCCCAATCCCCACGTCTCTCAACTAATACACAGATAGCGTATCCCATTCCCCCCACCCCCATGTAATCAATTGCCCAAAATCTCTTTTGCAGAACTTATTTCAAGTTTCATATTCTCTGCTTCTACGAAATCATTGAGATTTTGGTTGGAAATAGTTGTTGGAAATTGTCTAATTTGGCTTTTATTTAATCTCTTTGCTTGCTAACAAATCAGACTTAATTGATATTGCAAAACTCCATTGATAATCATTAAAAAAATTTGAATCTTTGAATTTAAAAATCGAATTTTGAAAAATTATTATTTGTTTGGATTGGGTGTTATTGCAAATGATTGAGAATATACTTTGGAATTTATATCTAAATTTTTAGAGAATTTGATGAAGATTCGAGGTGGGTTTGGTTGGAATTTCAGATTGACACTCGACAAGGACATAAAACAATTGTATATATTTTGTATTTCGGGTGTAGAAACAACATACAAAACATATAAACTAACATAATTGTATATAAACTGTATGTAAATTGTAGTTTTTTTTACTGAATTCTATACGAAAAAATTGCATTTAAGTTGTAGATAAATTGTACATGTATTGTAGATTTTGACTGAATATATATATATATATTTTGTAAAAAACTTTAGTTACTTTCCGTAAATAGGAAAACTTATACGAAATCGGGTAAATAAGTTTAAAATCTCTTATATATACGAAAAAGTCCCTTTTTTGCCCGTTTATGTACGTGGATTAGTACTGAAATAATAGATTACCTTAGAAAGAGAGAGATTTTTTCCATTACTTACAATGTCAAAAGTTATTATTTATTAAGTTTTGCACGAGGTTTGTTGGTTATATATGTTGTTAATTCAGAACGCTAAAAGAAGGTATTCATTTTGTTTTAATTTATGTGTCTTAGTTGACTGGGCATATGATTTAAGAAATAAGGAAATTTTTAAATTTTGTGATGTTAAACTAAAGATATGTATATTGTACCAAAAGACCCTTGAATCTTATGGTCTTATATGCCATGTGCAAAGTTGGAGTTAAACAGTTACCAAATAAATATAAAGAGGTATTATTTTTTAAACAGACTAAAAAAGATAGTAAGACACATAAGTTGAAATGAAGGGAGTAATATTTAAGAGAAAATTACGCGATAAGTCAAATACATACACTATATTTACCATTCATAGCTATCCTTTCAACAAATTTACCATTCGCAGCTATGTTTGAGTTTTATAGCAAATTCATGAAATAAGAGATTAATTTTTTTGAACTGAAACAAGAAAGCAACGAGCTCTCGTAGCTCAGTTGATTAGAGTGTCTGCTTAGTTAGCAGAGGTCTTGAGTTCAACTCTCAACATAAGCATTTTTTTTTTATGTATTTCTATATTTCGCCTTGGTTGTATTTATTGCGCGGACGAATACAGTCGATACAGAGGTTGTATCCTTTATATACACCCTTGTATTTCGTGCGAAAAAATACAGTTGATGCAGGGGTATTTGTCGTGCGAACGAATACAGTTGACACATGCGTAATCGTTGCTTTGAATACAAGTAATACAAGCCGGTAACAATAACTACAAATGATAATTAGGTAAACTATAGAGCTTTATGAAAATTAAGTATTATCGTGTAATATTTCTGTACTTTAAGCCCATCCAAATGGTGGACCTGCCCGACCCAATTCATTAATTTAAGGCCTGCATTGACTGGGCCATACTGGATGGGTCAGGCCCATATGTTAGCAATAATTATCGGATTAAATTTATACCGTGGATAAATTTATACCGCTAACCAAGCACAGTATATATTTAATCCCAGACTTAATTCAGGATATCCCATCTTATCCCACCTCCCATGTGGTATAATTTAGTCCAGAGATTACAATCCCTAAATTATAATTCCGGGACTAAATTATCTCAGAATTATAATCCATGACTAGATTATATCATATGGGAGGTGAGATAAAATAATCTCAAATTTAATGTGATAAAATGAGATATTCTGAATTAAGTTTATCTTAATATCCAAACAAATACAATACAAATTTAATCCGCATCTTATTTCACCTTATGTCTCGTAGCAAACGAACCCTAAAGAATTAATCCAAGCCATTGGTCAAGGACTCCTTTCTCTCTCTCTCTCCCTTTTTTTCAAACTAAGTTATCAAAAGGCTCCCACTGCCAGTGTCGGTGAGTCTTGACAGCCATATTATTTTATTATATAGTTAAAAGTTACAACTTCTCCCACCACCACCACCACTATCATCATCATCACCACCACCATCAATAATATTCCACCATTATTTTAGTGTTCCCAACTGTTTTGCCCAATTAACTCCGTTCACTAATATTTTCACCTTCATAGCAATTTCTCTCATCGATTGTGTTCTGAGGCTTATTGCGAATTTTAATTTAACGAAGTTCAGCTTTGAGATCATTGTAGTGTTAAAATTTTGGGTTCAGATCTAATACATATTGATACTTTAGTAGGTTTTACATATATATTCATATTCCGTTTCGAAATTCTGAGTTACCTTTAGCCAAAAAGGCTACATTCGCCTCTGAATTAGTGTTGGGCTTCTTTGCTTCCCATTTTTTAGACTAAAACAAGATCAACAACCACTGATCTGACTTCTGAGCTCAGGCTATGTGGTTTTGAAGAAATTCCCAATCGTAAGATATTGTAGTTGGAAATTGCGTCCACAAATATGCACGGCCTAAGCAGGCTAGGGAATGGTGCGTCTCCGCCATCGTCCCCTCGTTTGCGTCATGGGCGGAATAAGAACAGTGCTGCCTTTGGTGTTGGAGGTGGAGGAGGTATTTCACTAAAACTGCAGGAAAAGTTAGGTTTTATGATAGTATCTGCTGTATATAGACGAAGAGGAGTCTTACTTTTTGCTCCTTTATTGTATATATCTGGAATGTTGTTATATATGGGTACTTTAGGCTTTTTTGATGCATCTGCTGCTACAACTGAGGTGTCTCCACCTGGATCACTTTACCGTAGCCCCCAGGTTTTTGATAAGCTCTGGCCATTCATGGATTCCCACAACAATGGATCCTCCAATTTGTTAACAAATGTGTGGAATCCCAAGTTGCATCAAGTTTGGAAGCCTTGTACTGTTTCTCAAGAAGGTTTCATTGATCAACTCCCAAAGTCGAATGGCTACCTCATAATCGAGGCGAATGGTGGACTGAACCAACAAAGGTTATCGATATGTGATGCTGTAGCAGTTGCAGGATTACTGAATGCTACTCTTGTGATTCCAATTTTTCATTTAAACAGTGTTTGGCGAGATTCTAGCAAGTTCGGCGACATATTTGATGAGGATTTCTTCATATATGCACTAAGAAATCATGTGAAAGTGATCAGTCAACTCCCTGAAGATGTACTGCTTCAGTTTGATAATAATATAAGTAGCATTGTTAACTTGAGAGTAAAGGCATGGTCCAGTCCAACCTATTATCTTCAAAAGGTCCTGCCTAAGCTGAAGGAGTTGGGGGCTGTTCGCATTGCGCCTTTTTCAAACAGATTGGCCCACTCGGTTCCTCCAAATATACAAGGGCTGCGATGTTTGTGCAATTTTGAAGCGCTTAGGTTTTCAGAGCCCATACGCATGCTTGCAGCAAAGATGGTTGATCGAATGGTAAAAAGGAGCTTGAAAACGAGTGGGAGGTATGTCTCGGTGCACCTCCGCTTTGAAGAGGACATGGTTGCATTTTCGTGCTGTATATATGATGGTGGGGAAGAAGAAAAACATGAGATGGATATTGCCCGTGAAAGAAGTTGGAGAGGAAAATTCAGGCGAAGGGGAAGAGTTATTAGGCCAGGTGCAAACCGAATAGATGGGAAGTGCCCGTTAACTCCACTTGAGGTAGGCATGATGCTTAGAGGCATGGGGTTTGACAATAACACCTCACTTTATGTTGCCGCGGGGAAAATTTACAAAGCTGAGAAATATATGACCCCACTCAAACAGATATTCCCGCGTCTGGAATCAAAAGATACATTAGCTTCCCGAGAAGAACTCGCTCCATTTGAGGGACACTCATCTAGGTTGGCAGCACTTGATTATACAGTTTGTCTTTATAGTGAAGCCTTTGTCACAACTCAGGGTGGCAACTTTCCCCACTTCTTAGTGGGTCACAGAAGATATCTGAATGAAGGACATGCAAAGACAATCAAACCAGATAAAAGGAAATTGGCTCTTTTGTTTGACAGCCCGGATATTAGATGGAACGAATTCAAACGCCAATTGCAAGACATGCTTCATCATAGTGATTTAAAGGGGGTCGAGTTAAAGAAAAGTAGTAGTTCCCTCTACACATTCCCAATGCCAGATTGCATGTGTAAGCAAGTAGATGTTAAGAGTGCAAGTGGTAACAAGACAAGGATACTATGATACTTTAGGATATACAAATAGCTATAAAAAAGGTTATATATATTTGCAAAGGGAATACTCAGTAGCTATAGTAAACGTTCTATACTTGTAATTTTTGTGCCTTTCAGTAATCCATTCTTTTGGACCTGAGTGCAGTGTCCTATAATTCATTAGATATTTCGGAAGTCTATTGGCTGTGCTATTTATACTGAAATTCTCAAGTTCATTGTAAACAGATGCAATGCATAGGAAAATGAAGAGAAAAATCATGGAGGCGGAAGACAGACTTAGTGATTTGCCAGAAATTTCATGTTGTGCTATCAAAATTCATTCTATGATTAGGGCAATTTTTCTGTCGTCCTTTTGTAATTGTAGGAAAAAGATGTTTAAAACGGAAGTAGGCGACCATCTTGTTGTTTGCACGCATCAACTTGTAAAATTTGCTAAGCACTTGACATGTTCCATGAATCTATATATTCATCATATTCTTATTTTATCCACAATCATCTCCTTGATTCTCTTAACTTCTTTATAAGGAGAATAACTGGTTATAGCAGATTCTTTTCCTGCAGTACCTGTTCTCAGGTTTCACAATTGAAGATGGATACAATAGGAGGATTCGGAGACATAATTTTAACTGCTCGTTGCTAAATCTGGCCGTCAAGATCATTCACTTACATGGACCACTAAGTGCAAGTAAGTTTGTATGACCATTGGTACCATATTTGCTCTAGAATGCTAAAGTGCTAGAGAAGTTGGTCATTGTTGCCAGGTCCGAAGGGAGTGATGTGTCCCGGAATTATGTCGAAATGGCACAGGATTTCCTAAGCTTCAAATCCACTCTGCATGCTGCAGTTGTCTTTTCTTATTGATAAAATCTACGGCCCCTCTCATATGTAGTGATTGCAACACACTTAGGTGTTGTTACTTTATGTTTGAAGCCGGTTTTTGGCTGATAGACAAGGTTAGAATTGTAGTACTTTGTTAGTAGCCAAAGAGTTGCCCTATAGAGCCTATGAATAGTATTTCAAGGCGTTTTACTGCAATAGACTTGTCTATAGAGTCTATGAATAGTATGTCACGGTTTGGTGAGTTTTGCAGCAAGCTTTGAATGCCAAGAATTCCAGCTCGTGCATGTACTAATCCAGCCATGAAGCTATAGAAGTAAGACATAGCTAACTATTGAGTACTTTTACTAAAAAAGTTTGCTGCTATATATCAGTCTTCAGGAGTAGATGAGATGGTACAAAGCTTTTGGATTTCATCCTTGCCAAAAAGCTCGAGATGTTGAAACTCAAATTAAGCAATGGAATGCTTATTCATTTGGGACAGTGTGATGGAAGAAAGAGATCTGGCTGAAAGATGAACTCAAATCTGTTGGGAGACAAAACTCCAGGTGCCTTTGGTTGAAACAAGGTGATAAGAAAACCAACTTTTAGAAAATGGCTAATGCTCACAGATGAAAGACTGGAAATGAATGGTGAGATGAAAACTCTGAGGCAATCAAGAGGAACATTAGGAATTTCTACAGCAAACTATATACCAAAATAAAGGAATGGAGACCAACTTTGAACATGGATAGAGGTGCTTAGTTGCATGACTAGTGATCTTCCAACAACATACCTAGGATTACCATTGGGAGCAAAACATAAAGCACAAGGTAGATGACAAGGAGTTGCAGAAAAATGCAAAAAAAGATTAGCCTATTTTATTGCTCGGGGGAAGATTAATTCTCATCAATGAGTGTGTAGGATACTCTTCCGACCTATTTCATGTCACCATTTCCCCTGCCTATCACGGTGGAAAACAAATTGGACAAAATGAGAAGAAATTTTTTATGGCATGTCGACAAAAAGAGGAAAGCCATACCTACTTGGTAAAATCGAACACAGTAATAGCTAGCAAAAAATATGGGATGTTGGATGATTGATAAGCTTTAAAGCTGGAAATGGTTTGTAGATCTCCTGTTGGAAATTGGAATGGACACTCTCCTCTTAAGAGAACTATTCTGATCTTTACTTATTGGGCAGAGATTCAAGTCTAAAGTTTTCACTTTTCACTTTTCACAGAGCAGATCTGATACTGGCTGGAGCATAAGTTTTAATTTAGAAGGAACTTAAACGATTGGGAATTGGTCAGAATCCTAGAATATTTTACCTTCGTTAGAGCCCCACTGGAACTCAACTCTGAAGCTGATACAATGGTATATTTGATTTCTAATTAACTGTGTTAAATCAAAAGATCAGAATTCACTCGTTAATTGTAATACGATTTTTGTGCAACGCTACTATTAATGAAGTAAGGGGAAATCATAATATCCGTCACATGTAATTGTCATTTTCTGACCTTTTATTATAACATATAGGTTCAGTGAGAGGGTGGATAACAATCATTGCACATGGTATCTATTACACTATTTATTTATCAATTCCGAATATTATTTTAGTTATATGGTCAGTTTCACAAAAGGTTGCTAGAATATAACATGTGAAATGGGTAAATAAAACATATGAAATCTTTGAAGATTATTTTTTTCAAAAATTGAACCCCTTAAATTTAAATTTTGAATCCACCTCGACTTAGCACAGAACTTATTGTGTTTTTAAATTATGAGTTCAAACTTAGTATATATTGAAATCTAAGTGAATTTTTTCACGCAGTTGAAAATACTAAGTTCAGATGAACTAAGAGCTGCATGCGCCAGTCTCAGTGACCCTTTCTCTGATCTTCTCTAACCATATGTAAGTTTAACTGTTTTATATGCAAGCTCGCCCATTAATATGGTTACAAATGTAACATTAGATAATTTATTACTCCACTTTTGCTGATTGCAGTATGGTTTTGATTGAAGTGAAGTTTTGACAATAAATTCCTATGATAAGCCACATCAATTCTTCTTTTCTTTTTATTTCCTACAAATTTTGATTCGAAGAAAAGAAAGAGAAGGAGATATTAATCCAATGAGCCCCTACTCAAATTTTCCTTTTGCATGAATGAAGGCCATGTAAAATAATATGGCAGCAAATACCAGTAATCAAAAAAGGTATAAATCTCAACTTCAAGCAGTCTGTGAATCAGCATTAGGTTCAGCTTCTATAAAGAACTTCTTCACTCTCTGCTGAGCAATTAATACCTGCAGGAGACAATTTGTACGTCGAATGAAAAATAACTTCATCATTATTTTATGAGTTTAGTTCTAATATATATATATATATATATATATATATATATATTGGGGCAGCTCGGGGCACAAAGCATCCCGCATTCACGGAGGGTCCAGGGAAGGACCGCATCCAAAGTTGTGATGTAGACGGTCTAACCTAATGCAATTATTAATGACTGCTTTCACGGCTCAAACCCGTAACCTTAGTAGTCAAGCTAGTGCACAGACTAAAATGAAGAAATACCTGCTTATCCCAATCAGTTTTTAGAGTGATTACAAGTAGTACTGTAGTTTGCGTCAGTACACCAAACAGCATTCCAACCCAAACACCCTACAAAAAAATATAAGATAAAATAACCATCAGCCAAAATGAGAAAAGTTTAAAAAGAAAAAAAATAAGAAATGAACAACTTACTTTAACTTGCATATTGAAAACATAACCAAGCACAACTCCAACTGGAATTCCAACCAAGTAGTAACAGCCAATGTTAACATATGCTACTATGCTCTGCCATCCAGCTCCAACAGCTACACCTGTAACATGAAATCTTAAAGTTGTGACATCAAATATTGGAAATTATGTTCATATTATGTTTACAATTTCATACATTTAACATATGAATCAAGTAACTTACCAGAAAGAACTGGTTGGACACTGTTCAAAAGTATAGAAAATGCTAATAGAGGAGATAAGTGATCCACTTCTTCAGCTACATCTTCACTTTCAGTGAATATATAAGCCAGGCGTCCGCGCAAGAACAGGAAGAACAGAAACAGGACGAAGCCAATGACAAACGAGGTTGCCACTATTGTCAAGATTGAAAATCTTGCTGCTTTTGCGCTCCCTCTTCCCAGCTCGTTTGATACTCGTACACTATATGTTCGTGAACATGAATGAGATATCGTCACATAAAAAAAAAGAATCTAAAGTTTCTAGGACTGTGGTTATAGTACCATGCTGCAGCTAAGAATCCAAGAGAAATCATCATTTCCCAACCATTGATGTTAAGACTGCAAAAGAGGGGGAAAACTTGATCAATAAGATGACTGATGTAAGGGAATGTCTAAATGATTGAGAGAGGTGGAATACAACAAGATTACCATATAGAAAGAGCATCAATCTGAACCATAGCATTTTTCAGGTTTCCGGTAAGAAGAATCAGTATAGTGTTGTACCAGAGTTCAAGGCTGCCAAAACAAGTCCAAAAGATTCAAGATTTTCATCACATAAAACGACTCGTTCATAGTCCTTTTGTAATATCGTCAAGGATATAAAAAGAGTTGGTATTGTTGGTAAACTGTGTTCAAAACCAGAAAATTGGAGAAGCAAAGAAATGTTAGTTCAATAAACAAAATAGAAAGCGTTGCTGCCCAAGGTTTTGGATTAATTCCTCCCAGGATAGAATGAAATAACTATTCTGTGATAGCGACACTACAAATTGCAGAATTTCGGCAAACTCAACAAACAGAGTAAATCACACTTGACACTTATGTTTATTTGGAAAAATAATGCGAAGTTTTCAGATTTCCATATATGAAAACTTAGGCCCAGCCTCTAAATATATAGACAATGAAAGGGTAAGATGAAGAGTTGCAATCCAAGAGGTGCCTCTTCCATTTCTCATTCATACCCTTTAGAAAAAATCCAAGGGGTATCGATAAGGAAAAAGTGATACGCCGGTAGTTTCTATTTAGATTCTGATTTAACATGAAGAGTGTGAAACAACTTGCAAACAATGAAACAATAGAGTGAAATCTCACCAGAGCATTGCACCTGAAGAGAAAGAGAGCTTGATAACAGGCCAGAGATCTTTAAAGGCCAACGAAGTAAAACCTTTCCATGTTTCTTTGCATCCTCCACAAGTAACATACATTAACTGACCAATATTCGGAAGCCAGTATGCCAAAAGTGTCGATATCATGGCGCCAGTAATTCCAAATTTGAACTTCACGGTTAAAAGCCACGATAGAAATATATGGATCACAAGAGTACATGCTGCTAAGTATGAAATGATCATGTTCTTGCTCTGTGCTTGTAAGAACATTTGGCATGTAAAAGATGCAATGAAGGCATAAATCACTGGTATTAACCATAACGAAATGACTCCGGCCTCTTTAGCTATCGCTTCATCCTGGCCTAAAGCTTTTAATATTGGCGCTGTGAAAATAAAGATCGGTAAAAGCAGAGTCGCTGTTACTGTCAAGACAATCCAAGATCTTTGGAGATATATGCCTAACATGTGATATTGTTTAGCACCATAGGCCTGTCCACATAACGTTTCCAATCCACTTGCCATTCCTAACTGCACATTTGGATGAAAGTTATCGCTTATACATGGAGAAAAACAAATACAATCGACGAATCAAGTGAACTATACATCTCCATTCTTGCTCGACGAAGAGCTTTAATTTCTATACACTGATAGTAAATGTCACACTTATCAAGTAAGATAAAAGATTAGCAAGTAAGCAATCCTCCATACAAGTTTGATTAGTAACTTCAGAACTGTTACAACATGTTAAAATACACTGATAGTGTAAAAACTTTTCACACTGTCAGCGTATATAAGTTAAATTCATACAAAAAAGCCATGCTTGAATCTCAAGAGGACATTGATGCCTAGGCATATGCTACTAGTTAAATGGATCCAATGTGAGACGTTTAAAGAGAGATAAAGGACAATTAAACTTTTTTCTTTAAAGGACATGCAAAAAGACAGATAATATGGACCGGAAGGAGTACCAGAATGCCATTCCCGAATCTGAGGAGGACAGTGATGACAAGCGCGTAAGCTGCTAGTTCGATAGATCCAATGTGACCGATGAATGCTTGGCTAATGACATTTACACCAAACGTTGAGAATCTAGTAAAAATAGCAGGAGCAGCAATTACCCACATTTTCTTCCACTCGTTCCATATCTTGTCCTTAAGTTTCAATCCATTATCACCCTCTTGGACTTGTACTTTACTTAACAGCTTCTCACTAATATCATCAGCTGCCATTTTGGTCAATTACAAGCTGCCCTTCTCTCACTGCAACATATATATAATGAAGATACATCATATGATGTTACATAAAAATTAGTCCAGCGAACCAAATTTTTGCAGACTCAATTCATATCAAAGTGTTTGAACAACCTTGACTTATATATATATATATATATATATATATATATATATGGTGGTGTCCAGGGGAGTACGGGAAGAATTTTTGTAAGTGGTGGCGAAATTTATAGAAGAACGAGAATAATAATTTTAATAGTCTTAATCTATTGGTTTTGTTGATTCTTAAGTAGAAAAGGTCCCGAGTTAAATTCTACTTCATCACAATTAACCACATAGGCTCTCTCAAATATTTGCAAAAAAAAAAGGTACTATTTAAGGTTCGAACCTTTGACCTCTTAGAGCAAAATCAAACACATAACAAACACACAAAGAGATAATTTATATCGCGTGACACCACTTCGTTAAGCATGCATCCGCCCCTGACAGCAACTTGCATGTAACTCGACTATTCTACAAGGTATATGCTATCTCCAAGCAACACAATAGTATACACAATAGTATCCGATTAACTTTGCCCACCCGGTACCTCCTAGCTGCACAAGTATCCGATTAACTTTGCTCACCAAAGCTCAGGCAAAAAAAATAAACATTAACTTTTATTTCCATGGGATTTGAACACTGGTATCCCAAGGTTTTTCACCCACAAACATAAACATTAACTTTTCTTGTGATTTCATATATTAAAATCACATTCCTTATTTTGTTTTGGTTGTAATAAACTAATTCAGATGATTATTATTCCAAAGTTACCCGTCTGGTTTCTATCGTTGAATGTAAAATTGTGAAGAAACAAACCTCTACCACTGTTTATGCTATATGATTGGTGTGATTTGTTTTTAATCAAAAACATAACACGTGTCAATTCAACTTAACACACTAATTACTTAGTTTTGGCAATTAATAATATTTGTTTCTAGGAGGAGGTAAAAACTTTGAATGCTTAAATTATTTCAGTTTGGAGTTTGAACCGATTCAAGCTTCTTTCTCTTAACTTGCTTGATTCTCTCAAAGATGGTTCCCAGGAACATTATAGTTGTATTGTTTAATACCTTATATCGGCTTTTAAACAAAAGATTACAAGAAATAGCATTTAATTATTAACACCACAAAAGGGCAGTTCTGGGATATTGTAGAAAGTTGATCATTTGCCAAAAGATCCATATAAGATAGGAGAATATAATATCGCAAATCCGAAGAAACTTATTGTTATATATTTGGAGAGGAGTGTATGGAATTATCCAAAAACGAAAATTATCGAATCTGAACTGCTACTACTATTACGGGTTACAAAAAGCTATCTTTTCTTTCTCAGTAATTTGTCTTTTCTGTTGGAATTAGAAGTTTTATATACCTCTATCATATATTTATGAAAAATGAGATATGTAATCTTTTAAATAAAGTAAAATATGACATGATAGAGAAGAGAGTTGATACCTATGTATACAAATTAAACTCAAAGTAAAATACCCGTTTTAATTTATGAGAACCTATTTAACTTGGTACAGAATTTAAGAAAATAGAAAAGATTTTTGAACTTGTGATATAATATGAGACCTATATATTTTGTGTGGTTATAAAACATTGCATAAAATTAATTTTTTTTTAAATAAGTAAACGAGTCATTACTTTTGATACGAATTAGGTTCACAAGGCGGAAAGTATAAAATATGTTGTTTATAAGTTAAACTAGAAGCAAAAATAAAAACGCTAGTACTAAAACATTAAAAGCGACATGTGACAGTAGGCAGACAGATATAACAGCTTTTAGTTGAAAGACCACGTGGATCGATTACTTACACAAATCTATAAAAATCCCGCGATAGAACAGACACCTCTTTTTGTTTTCTTTTTTTCTTCCTTTTTTCCCTCCCCTTCCTCAAACGGCCAAACCCTACTTTTCCATTGTTGTTTTTAATGATTAATTAAGATGGTTGATGAACAACAAACTAACAAGTTTATTTTCATAAAAAAAAAAATTAGTACATAACGAGCTAAACCTAAAACTGAATCTCACTTTTAAAGTTTCTATATATCTAGTATTTAAATCATGGAGGAAAGCATAATTTCTAACNTATATATATATATTTCGTGTTGAAAATAATAGGTTTAAAAATATTAAAACTTTAACGAATATTAATTTGAAACCATATTTTCCAAAGTATAATGAGCTAACTGATAAAAATTACATCAAAGGTTAAACCTATCAAATACCCGAAGAAGAAGATAGTATATAATTGTGTTCCAGGCAGGTGTGTATGTGTTTGGGGGAGGGGAGATAACGTGCATATAAACAAGAAACTGAAAAGGCTAATTAGAGCCAAAGATAAAAGCAACACTTACAGTTTAAGATTCAAGAAAATCTAAGAGCCAAAATGGATCGGAGTAGAAGTTTTCTTAATACTCTTTTTGTTTGTTGTATATAACAAAGACAGGAGGAGCAGTTTGAGTTGAGGTAATATGAAAGCAAGAACAAGCTTTGCAGGTTTTGAAATACAACTTCCAATTTGCTTCTTCTTACTCGGTATGTAGTAGTATATATCAAATGATAATTGGCTTTCTATATTAGTCTTTTTCTCTATTACCCCTGCTAGATTCTCATATTCTACTGAAAATTATGGTACGTCACTTTTTATTTTTCAAATAAATATTACTTATAAAAATTAAACTTATAGTAGTCGACAATTTCAACATTTGAAAATATAGAAAATAATTGGTAATAAAAACAATATCTCGTTTATGATTAACTTTAATACTTTTAGGAGAAATTAATTTAAATCAAAACTTTCTTTTTCTTTTTTGCTCATAAGGTAGAAGGTTGGGAAGGTAGAGTAGAGAAATGTAATATATATATATATATATAGTATATTTTATTAAAGTGATAAGCTAGTAAAAAATCACATATCAAAAATATTTGATATAGAGCCCATTTGGATGAGCGGGTTGTATGTGACTTTTAAGCCAAAAGTCATAAGTTAAGAATTTTGGTTTTTGGCTTTGGACTTATTTTTGTTATTTTTACTTAAAAATAAGTGCTTAAAAATAATCTTTTATATATTTAAATACTACAAAATAACTTAAAAATTATTTTGACTTAAAATTATTTAAAATAAGCTAATCCAAACGTGTTCATAGCTGTCAGTATCACAGGCTAACGCCAAGAGAACGGTGAACCTACGTAACTGATTATGCCTTAATCATTATTGGCAAAAAGCTAAAATTCCCCTCTTTTTCACAATTTCTTTGAGACTTCAACAACTTTTCACGAAAGCACTTAGAGATGACAACCTTACGGGCGGTGCGGGTTGGGGGCGGGTCCTATCTTAACTTGCAAAAATTCAACTCGCCCTATCCCGCCCCGTATTGCATTTTCATCCGCATTCATTCACCCCGCATCCACACTCGGCGTTACCCGCCCTGCCCCGCAGAATTTATTGTTCAGTTATGAGTAATTAATTAATAGGTCCTTTCCAATTTCTTTGAAGAAAACTTTGCATGCGAAGATGACAACGTGCGTAGAAATTTTGGGAAAGAAAATGTCTAGCTTCTTCGCTTTAAGAAAATAATTGATGCTTTTTTTTTTGTCGTTCCATTCGAGCAAGTTTACACGCACCTCAATTATTTTACCAAATATCGTACTTATTATTTCCCAACATATGTATCGAGTAACTCTATTTATCAACACTAAAATATATAAAAATAAATCAATTACGAGTAGTATTTTTTATCTCATTTGTAATTTAAACTTGAAACATCCTGATTCTCTACTCATTTCATTGATTAATAGGTTACATGTGTGCTAAAATAATTATCAATTTGACTAATCAAGTTATAAAAAATGACAGAAAAACAAAGAAAGAGTGCGTGTTTCTTCCGGTGAGCCCACAAATTGATTCAATGCTAATAACATCACTTCCTCCATATTTCTTACTATTTATTTATTCTGATAGTTCTCATGCAATCAACTTTTCATCTAATTTAGTGGGCGTTTGGACATAAGAATTGTAAAATTTCGAAAAAATATCAAAACAAATTTCAGTTGAAAATGGTATTTGAAAAGTAGAGTTGTGTTTGGACATGAATATAATTTTGGGCTGTTTTTGAATTTTTGTGAGTAATCTGCATGAAAATTTTGATAAACAGCTTTTTGGAGTTTTTCAAATTTTCAAAAAGTTTCAAAATTCATCTTCAAGTGAAGATTGAAAAATTTATGGCCAAACACTGATTTTAATTTTTTTTTTTTAAAATACGAAAAAGTGAAAAACATTTCATGACCAAACGGGCTCTTAATTTAAAATAAAATTTTCAGAAACCACTATTGTTTAGCAGTTATTAACTTCCTGTAGCTACCATATACATAATTACTTCATATAGCTACTATTTAGTTGTTACGCGACTGTATTTGTTGTATTCGCGCTGCTATATTCATGAATACAGTAACGAAATTCGCCTAAAAAATAGGGGAGTCCAGCCGTTTGATAACGAATTGAGTTTATTCAAATTCGTAGCCGGACTACTAGCTTCATTCGTGTTTGTGAGCCCAATGTTGTTATTGATGTTTTTCTTGTACCAAATAACTTGAACAAATATATAGCACGTTTTCCAGTTCAACTCATAGCATATTTTCCCAAGATTGAGAAAAATTCTTTCGCATTATTTAAGTAATTGAATTTCAATCGTTGTCTTTTTGATATTTTTCATAAGTAATTGATATATATATATATATATATATATATATAAGCAAAAATAATAATTATTATTATTATAAAAGCACGAATAATTTATACTAAATGTTGAACGACAAAAATATCGCCGAAACATTAATCGACTTTTATGTCCTAAAATATTTGTATAATTTAAGGATCTAATTGTAAATTACCTAATGATGGAATCCATTTCTGATTTAAACTGCACATATACTACAAAATTGATCCTACTTTGATTAGGAAGACACGTCCATAATTTTCTTTTAAAAAAAAGTTATTATTCCTAATTACAAACAAATATGTAATTATGTGAGAATAGAAGATTTACGTAGTATATGAGTTTTATTTGAAAAAAGGAATAGTTAAATATCTTTATATCCTGAAAATATTAACCGATAATAGTCTTTTGCACTCTATCTAATAAGTAGGATTTTAAATCAGCTAAAAAAAACTTTGAAGTGGTAAATCATGACCGCTGCAAACATTGCCAAGTTTGTAAAGGACTCTAATCTAAACACCAATCTATCTATCTCTCTCTCTATATATATATATATATATTAAAGGAATAAAGTTTGCATTGTGGTTAAGCCAATTGGCAAGTTATTAACAAGCCACTTGGCAATTTTAGGACAAAATAATAAAATAATATA